CACTCTTCCATTTTATATATGTTGACAAATTGATCACAAACTCATTGAATATCGCCATCAACAGAATCCAGGCTTTTTCCACAGTGTTACGCGTTGTCCAAAACGTGTATCTTCTTCCAGAAGCCCCATCCAATCCCTACTCTGAAGGTATCATCAGCATGATGACAGCAATAGACTATTTACTTTCTTGATGGTAAAATTTTTAAATTACACTTATTAAGCAACCAAAAAAAAAAAAAATAAATAAATAAAAAATTAGTAAACTCACTCGGGAGTGGTGATGATGGAGAACCAGTCCATGCCATCGGGATCCGCAATCTTGGAGACCACAAAGAACCTCGGCACAATAAACAGATTCCCAGCCTTGATAGTCGTCTCAAGTACCCGCTTACCGTCCACGCCCACAACCTGTACCCGTCCACTCCCCCTCACAATGTAAGTCACCTGAAGAGCCGAGTCACACGAGAAGCCCGGAGAGCACATGGCCCTACCATTCAACCTAACGAGGTCTGCCCCAAGCCCGACTTCCCCAACCAGCGGCAAATTCTTGGTGTTCAACACCACCACCTTGCCCCCACCCTTGATGTCGACATCGAGAGGAGCCTCCTCGCAGTTAAGGGCCATGCCTTTGTAGTGATCCTTCTTGGGCTCGGGGAATTTGGAATTCGGGCTGAGCTTTACGATGCCGTGGCCCGGTTGGCTGGAGACGAGGGCTTTGGCAGTGGGCTCGTCGACATCCCAGGCCCGGCTGACGAATTCGGTTGAGAAGCCTGTGAAGAGGCCTTTGGGGCCGGTGAGGAAGAAGTCGGTGAAGGAGCCGCGGTTATGGGCCTTGGAGGTGTCTCCGAGGAAGAGGATGACGAGTTCTGGGTCGGAATTGTTGAGGTACCAGGTGACCACACCGAATGGGAGGGCTATGGCGTCTCCCTTTTTGATGGGGAGAACTTTTTCTTCCTTTTCAGGGAGGATAATTCCGGCCATCCCGCTGCCTGGAAAAAAAAATATGGTTGGGGTAATATGTCGAGCAGGAAGAATGCAATTGGTTTTAAATGGATCAAATTAATTAATCTCGTTTTAAGTGGCATGCATGAAGTGATTCATCATTCATCACTACGGAACAGAAATTTTGACGGCAGTTAAATTATTGGATTTGATCAGCCATCACAAATTACGGTAAGGTGAATGAGGAGAGTAGCAATTACAGAGTATGAATGTATTTTTTCTCGGATTTAAAGTCAGCTTTCAGGCAAAAATCAATCGCGTGAACAGATTCATCACTAGAGTCAGGAGTGACTGACAGGCAATCGTAACGATTTGTAGCAAAATAAGCACGATAAAAAGCATATAATCAGTCATCACTCTTTCAATAAATCATAAAACAAATCACAAATCAGACTTCAGGAACTGCACAAAAGCTGAAATGACTTACGAGCAAAACAGATACTAACCACATCACACTCGATCATGGAGAATAAGAAGAAAAACACAAATCAAAATCCGTGAATCGCAAAGTAGCAAATCACCGGTGGATCTGAAATTGGTGAGCGTATATGTATACATACCTTGAAGAACATAAGCAACCTTAGCAGAATCGGAGTATCGAGGGGGAGCAAAGCCGTTCTTCTCAAGGGCGAGCTTAGCAGCGCCGATGTTGCCTTCACGGAGCATCGACAGCTCGTCGGGGCTCCAGGCGTAGTACGCGCCGCCATCTCCGCCGTAGATCTTCTTCGCCAACTTTGGTGTCAAGTCGAGCTCCATCGTCTCTACTTTATCTCTCTAAAGCAAACAGAAACTAAAAACAATCCAATAAAAAACGCAAACGATTGAAAGTGCTGATGATAATAGGCGATGATCCGCTTGGTATTTATAGGGGAAAGAAATCTGAAAGCAGATTGTAATTATGCTCTCGATAGGATTGGTTTTGTTAATTGTGGATTTATCAGGATCTTATCTTATCTGAATCGTTATCCTTTTGTATCATTGTGATATATATTCGAGATTTTGTTATTTCAGGAAGAAGATTAATTAAAATGATATTACTAATTTGTGCATGATTTATGCATGCGTTCCTGGATTAGGATTCTATCTGTGGGGTAAATAATGTAGAACTATGTAAGATAAAACTCGATTTTAGTTTGGAAATTATATCTCAATAGGATAAGATTAAGATAAAAATATGTATGATAAAACTCAATTTGAGATTACTATCATTTAAACCGGGATCGGAGTCGGACTGGGGCAGGGCCACTAAGGCAATCGCCACTAAAGCCTAGGGCCCACAATTCTTAAAGGGCTTTTAAATGGATGTATATATTTTATTAGGATTTAAAAACTAAAAATGAGTACACCAAAATGTTAATGAAATATCTTGGTCGAATGGAATTACAATTTCTAACTCTTTTTAGATTTAAACTCGGCGATTATAGTATTATTAATAATCATTTTGACCAATTCTCTTTCAATGTAAATAACCATTAAATCCGCTAAAAGTTTCTCTTACGTATTATTACGAAGAACCGTCGTAATAAGTTTCATAGGGAAAACACTCGCTCCGTAGTTGTCGTATACACAGGAAGAGTCAAAACAAGACGAATTAACTTGTCAAATAAATTAAATTAATTAGATCGCCTAAATATACTAGAATTTAATTAGCAAAAATTACTTAAGACAATTTATGTTATACCTGTCGATCAAATTGTAGATTTTTGACTTATTTGTCTCAACTAATCTATGATATAATTCGAAAATAGTCGATAAGTCTTGAAAATCTTATTAGTAATGACATCAAGCTCATATTGGTTCAATTGCAATCTAAAGTAGAGCAAATCTTGAGCATCAAAATCAAGATAATAGAAGCGTTCGGCAAGACGATGAATATGATCCCGTTTGAACAGTTTAAAGCCTTCTTTCGGTTCCAAGGCACAACTAAGCTTAAGAAGTTCAACCGCTTCATCCTTGAATCTATTATTTATCTCTTCAATTTGAAAATCAGGACTTGGTCTTGCTAAATATCCTGGAAAGATATAGATTATTCACAGGTTAGAAAGTAAACATGGAGATATCAACTATCTTCTACAGCAAAAATACACCAGCTCACCTTCAGTCTATTATTTTTGAGGTATCACATGGGATCAGGATTCACAAATCAACTAGGTACTTGGGACTTCATCTAGGTATTGGCATATCCAAGAAAGAAGCATTTGCCTTTATTCTAGAGACAGTGAGATCCACACTGCAAAGCTGAGAGAATTAATTGTTGTCAATAGTAGGTAAGGAGGTTCTTATAAAAGTAGTTCTCAATACTCTTCCAATGTACCGTTAATACCGGCTGCTACGGTACAGTATTTAAAACATTACGTCTTAATATTAGGGCTGAGCATGGGACTCAAAGAATTCCAAACCGTTCCGAAAACCGAACCGAAATCACTCTGAGCCGAAAAATGTCCGTTGACTGTTTCACTTTCTCCGAACCGAACCAAACTGAAAATAAATAAATAAATAAATATATTGGTATGGTTATGGAGATTTCACAAATAATCGTACGGAGAACCGAACCGAACTGTCTCATACCATAACGAACCGAACCAATTCTTATCAGATTTCCAAGCTAGGTTTGAATATAACATTAGGTGTGTTATTAATATATTTTATGTCAACTTTGATCTTATATAATTTGAGAATTTTTAAAATCCAAATAAAATATATTAATAATAATTAACCTTCAATTAAATTTCATGCTTAGTAATACTTGATCTACAATTGATTTTTTCCTGTTATAAAAATTTTATTTAAAATGGTATGAAAAGTTAAAAAATATATTTTTAAGAAAAACTATATTATATTTTGTTTGAATTAAATTTTCAAAATTAGTTGCACAAATTTAACCTTAACTAAAATTTTAAGTTTATTCTAAAGTTGATTTCAAAATAAAATATTTAACATGAAGAAGTATTAATGAATGTTAGTTTTTTTAAAGCATATACAAATTAAATAACTAAAACTTAGAGTTATTTCTAAGTTGATTTCAAAATAAAATCTTCAATATGATCAAGTATTGATAAATGTTGTCTTTTTAAAGCATATAAAAATTAAAATATAATTAGGTAGTCATTAAAAAAAAAATAAAAAATTTCCAAAAATCAAAACCAAAACATACCGCACCAAATCGTTTCGATAGTCCGAAAACCGAACCGAATAGTACCGAAAAATAAAAATCTCCGAACTGAACCGTCCCGATTTTTTTACGGTTCCGGAGATCGAATTTAGTGATCTCCAAATTTTGGTACGGTTCGAGAGATTTTTCAACCTCCGAACAGTACCAGACTCATGCTCACCCCTAATTAGTATTACTGCATTAACAATTTAAGTCAATATCATATTTGGCTTTCAGCAACCAATGATGCTGTACAACATTTCATCTCAAACAACACAAACAAGACACCACAATCACAAGATTCACAGTGAGATAAACGCACACCAAAACAGGAAACTGGTGTCAAATCAGTGAAAAATTTTAAAGTAAAGGATCACAATGATTGCCAATACGAGTGCAGCAATTACAGAGCCCACGATCCACTTGTTCCTGCTCATCCTTCTACTCATCGATGTTAGCACCTTTTTACTTTTATCAATGGCGCTGTCCACATCAGACAGCTGTAAAATATAGAGAAAGTGATCAAAAACTAGAAATAAATACAAATACAAATACAAATGTATCCATCTATCTCCTAGAAACAAATTCATGGAGCATTGTAATTTTCTAATTTTGGGAGACAAAAATATATTTTTTTCTGGGTAATTACGCTTTATCTCAAATTAGTTTTGTAATAATAACAAGACTAGTGCAACACTTATGTATTACATGGGTGGGAACCACGGTGCCTCATCCCGGGCCGTTCATGGGTGGATTCATAAAAGTGGGATCGGTATCGGGACAAGTCATATACAGAACCGTCCGGACCGCGCCCACCATAACCATAAATAATCAACATATTTATAGATAATCCGAACCTAAATTAAATCTACCCAAGCCTAATAACAAAGCATGTAATTTTGTCACATAGGATCCCGAAGCATGCGAGCCTGCCACATAGGCTCAGCACGTTCTCAATTAATATATAAGTAAGGGGGATATGATGATAAAAAGGATCTAGCCGTGGTGCCACATACCTTCTTGTGGGAATGCAAAAGAGTTTCACGCTGTTGATGAAGATCTTCAAGGATCGAGACCCCAAGCTCTTCTGTTTCCAGAGCTGCCCTCCGAGTCTCCCGTAATCTATCAGTCGATTCATTCAGCCTCTCAGTTGACACCATCAATCTATCCCTCTGATTCCCCGAGGCCTATCAACAAAACTCAATATAATATTGGAGCCACTAGAGGGTAAAATAAAAATGCCACCAACAAAAGCTCATATAAACATGAGAAGAACTATCATGAAAGCTATGTAGGCATTGTCAATACTCATCTGAGTTAATTTGTATGCCCTGCAGAGGTTTGTAACTTAACTGAATGAGAGTGTGCATCTGGCTATCTAAAGTACGAGTAAAAATGCATCACATCGCCTAATTGATTTTTTCCACAACTGTAATTTAATTCCCTTCAATTTGACCTTTTGATGCAAGGAATAACAAAACATCTGCATGTGTGTGTATAAAAATGCATACTAGAAGTGATGCTTTGGCTGTCTTGTGCATTAAAATTGTGTATACAGCTACACAGCATCATACATTGTAGTGATTATCTTGAGTAATTCCCTTAACGAAGGCAAACTCAACTATATATTCAAAGAATGTCGATTAAATGTGAATAACAATATGAACAGGTTAACACAATCTGCACATACTTGGTGTGCGCCAGCCGTTCCAGATTCTAACAAATCTTCATGAGCTGGCTGATTGGAACTGGGCACAGTCAGTTTCTTCACTTCTCTTTTCAGCTTATTCAGATCAGATTTGTATTCCCGTAGCTTAGCAAGCAAAGTGGCTTTCACACTCGGCTGCAAACTTCTAGCCTCAAGGTCCATTTTCCGAATCTTGTAAACACAATTAGATACATTTAAGATTGCAAATTAGAAAAGATCCAAATTGATACAGACTTGATTGAGAATCAAGATCATGCATTACCAAAACATCAGCATCATCTAATCCAGCCTGTAATTCAGATATCTCTTGTTTCTTTATCTCTGCAGGCCATAGTATTCACAGTCCACAACAAAATCAGTTACAAAGCGAGAGAATATTTAATGAACAAATGATACTAACTAGGAGCATCTAGCACTCGATATCTTTTAATACTGCATTAAATATAATGACCTGAACTTTCTGGAAATAAATAAAAATATAGCAGCCAAAATTGACTGTTAGGGATTATCACTTGGTGGATATCATCACGAAGCTACAGAATCAGCTGAAGAAGCAGAGAGCATCTTTAGATTGTAAAAATTCAGATCTGAAGGAATTGGGATTGTTGGTGCATGCTAAAGTTAGCACCTACTATTCCTTAATTGATCACAACTACAACACATGAATGCAAAGGCAGATAACCAAAAGGATAATTTCAAACACAATTTGATTTTAAAAAAAAAAAAAGACATAAAACGAAAAATAAGAAAGCCTTCTTTAAAAGTGATGCAGGTTAAACAAAGACAGAGTTATATATTTCTCTAGAAATCAAGAACAATGATATCAAACATATAGTTGGAAACAATAACAAACATGGTTAACAACATGGCACCACACCCGACACCAAAGAATAAGCTCCCAAGACTCTCCAACTTGATACCGTCCAATGGGAACAAAGCCATATTGAAGATGTTAAATTAACCACAGTTCAGATAAATGCCCAAAAACCTTGCACAAACCAAACCCTAATTTCAGCAAAAATTGAAGACGCAACAATCTACCAACAACCCTCTCAGAGCAAAACAATGCCAAAAACAAGAAAAGTGTACGCAGAATTAGCTCACCGAATCACTCATCAAGTTAATCTCTGATAATCGCAAAATTCATTTACTTCATAGTACCTCCATCCGGAAGAGCAGCAGCGGAATTGCATTTTCTCGACAAATTTGCCGACAGCTCACAGTACTGCCTTTCGTACCCTTCATACACCTGACTCATCTTTCCTCCTAAACCTCTGCTCAATAGAACGGATCACCGAGATTAAAACAATTTTTCAATTGCTAAAGCAGTAATTATACTGAAGAAATTCAATAAACATAAACCGAATCAGAAAACTTTTGTATATGCGAATCGAGCTGCGTGTGCGTATGCATACCTCGAATATGTGAGTTCGCCGAGATGGAATGAGCGAGTTGACTCGGATCAGAGGTCAGGAGTAGAGAGAGAAAGTGTATCGGACTTAATTCGGAAGAAAGATCAATGGTGGAAATGCGTAAAGGGAAAGTGAGAAATGTATATTTGCTATTAAACCAAGTTTAAACCAATTGGAATTTTAGTTCAAAAATATCCATTTGCATTTTTGTTTTTTTTTTTTTCAAACAGTGTTCTGTCCACATCCTTGATGATGTGCCCCGTACATAGTAAGTCGGCAGAATATGGAAAAATCATTCCAATAGGAGTTATTATACTCAATTCCCTGTCAGTAACAATAGTTGTAGGATGTATATCAGACCCGATCTGTACTCGCTCTCGTCTTTTTCATATACAATTAAGAAGTTCTTATCGCACAGCGTCATCCCAATAATTTCCACCAATGCCATCTGGTATTTGTGCAATTTTCACCAATGGCATCTGGTATCTGTGCAAATGAAGACGTAGCCAGTAACAAGACAAAAAACAGAATAAAAAACTTACTCAAACATACTAATTATGACTCATACTAATTTGTTATTATAAAGTAACATACATGTTGGTTATGAAGGCCGAAACTATACCGATGTACGAGTAATATGTCTGGAATATGAACAGATGTGTCAACGCCTTTGTTTCCTCATTAACACCTGTATAAACTATATATTTACTTTCCAAAATGAAGCCAAATGCAGAATCTGGGTAGCCACATCTCTACCCTTGAAATTATCTTTCCGCACGTGATTTCTTTGTTATACACATGTCGTCGAATAGCGTTGTCTTTCGGATGTTATTCCTGGATTGCAGTCAAAATTACTGTCGGTTTTGTCGCAGCAGCTCTCATATCACGAACAATATCTTTAGATGAAGCGCTAAGTCCACTCATCTGTCGATAACCCTCAGGATATACAGCCAATGCATGATTATGGATTTCCTTAACACCAGGACTTACACGGATCCCTAAGATGTAGATAGTTTCACCTGTTGGATTGATATCCGGGCAATTGCACGCTTTAGTCTTTGAACTTCTGGCAACTCAGTCTAAATCTCCAGAATTGCCTCTGTAACGTTCACCTCTCGCACACTTCAACATTCATCCTTCCACTTTTTTTGTGTGAAGAAATGACCAATTCAAAACCATATTGAATTGCAATTTCTTTTGTCCATGTAATAGCTTCTACATCACTATCAAATACTTCCTCCGTAATGAAAACAGAATTACAATCAGTACCGTCCCCTCTAAAATCATCGAATGGCACCTACAAAATATTACAATGTTATAAAATACTAGTATATTTCGCATTTAAATTGTACTAGCTTAAATCAAACATAATAATTTATTTCATAATAATTTTTAACATGAAAATTTAAATAATACTTTATCCATAAATAAAAACTTATTTATAATATTAATTAAAGTCAGAATAATGTAAAATTCTATAAGTTAATAAATTCTAATTTATAACATAATATTTCTAAGTTCTAACATAATAATAATAAATTCTTTAAGATAATTAATTCTAATTTATAAATAATAATATCTAACTTCTAACATAATTTCTATAATAAATAAATATTTGATTATTAAAAACGGTAGGCCGGCGATACCGATCGGACCGTGCTCGGCCGGACGGCGATTGCGGCCGACCGCCACCGTGCGCTGCCTCAATCGCCGGCCGGCCGACAAATTTTTCGTACCTCGTTGTCGCTCATTTTCGTCGGAATTCGCCGAAATTTTCAGAGGATTTACAATCTTTTGAGTTTCTGAAAAAAAATGACAATGGCAAAACGGTTTAAATGGGGAAGAAAACTGAAAGTTGAAGAGAAAGGTGGGAATTGTCGCCTCTTCTCCCCCAAATCCTCAATCCCTAATTTCTCGTCGGTAATTTCTGTCGCCTTCCCCAGTAGGGCTCAGCGAGTGCACGGTGGTGGCTTTACTAGGCCTCGCAGCTCGTTTTCGAGAGTTGCGCCGCAAGGAGGGGGGCTTTTTCGTCGGGGAGATGGTTGTGCCTGTTTTTCGGTTTCCGCCTCTAGTGCTGGGAGTGAGTGGCAGGTGGGTGTTTCTCCTCCGGTATCTCCACAGCGGCGACACTCTGGCACTCTCTTGGAGGGGGCTGCGACCCCAATTTCCCGATCTAGGGTTTGGGGTAGAGACAGTGCTCTGGCAAATTTTGTTCTTCTCGATCCTGTGGTGCAGGGCGTTGGAGTCGCGGTCGACGGCGATCGAAGGGCTGGGCTGCTATGCTCGAAGCTCGGGCCATTGTTGTTGACTGGTTGGTTGGGTGTGTTTGTCTCCGGGTAGCAGTGGGGTTGTTCAACTGGACGAGGGTTGGGCCCGTCGGTTCCCGACACAGCTAGGCGGTGTCTTACAATTTCTAGGTCGGGATCCTGGGCCGAGACTCTACCATTGTTGTGTTCGGTGTGGTTTTCCGATGTGGGAAGGGCTCTCGTTTTATGTTTTGTTTCGTTTCGTTTTGTTTCGTGTAGTATTTGTTATATTCTGTTTAGTTTTGGTCTATTTGTAGGTCTGTGTTTTTGGTTTGGGCTCTCGGCCTCAATTGTTCTCCCGAGTGAGTGATTTATTATCCTGTTGGGATCGATTTCACTCGGGCATTATCCTGTTGGGATCCTTTAGTTTTGTGTATTGTCTGTAATATTGTTTTTTGTTTTCTAACGTTGCTAGGTCCGGCTCTAGGCGACCTTCGGGTCTGACTACCAGTCTATTCAGCATTTGGTTGTATCTTTTAGCCTTTGGCTGGTTTTCTTTTCGCACTTTATGCGTTTTATAATACTCTATCGTTTAAAAAAAAAAAAAAAATGGGTTCAAATGGGGGTGGTAAGTAGTAACAGGGAGATATTGAATAGTAACACCCATTATTTAATTTAGTTGTTTTGGAAAGGGTTTATTGTTTGCTCAATCTACCACATCATTTCTTTGAATGAATTTTAATGTTGAAATGTCAAGAGTTTTCTGCAAATGCACTCCAGAAAATGGACTCGAGCAAAAGTCCCTTATACCTATACTGAGCATGTAAATTAATAATGAAGAATTACACATTCATTAACTGGACAAGCTAAAAAGGAAGATAGATTAGTAAGGTAATATCAAGCAGATAAGTTGTTCTAAGTTCTAACCACACTGCAGCAATCTTTCTCACCAAAACAAAAATTAGCATTTCACATTCTATACAATATAAGCAGTCAGCTACTGTCTCAACAAGCGGACAAACATCAAGCCAATGTTCCTGTCGTCTTCATATGCGGGAGAAGACAATCAATTCCAATCCCACATTACACAGCACTCAGCAAAAGAATTACCAGTTCAACAAACTCCAATCCTTCTCGCTACCACTAATCTAACGATCAAATGCAGTATTATAACAAGTTTTAAATTCGAAAAATACATGAAGATCCAACAATCATTCACTTTGAGCAGAACCCATTTCCCCATTACCCTCTCGACTCAACCCCAAAACCTCCAAATCTTGATTGCTCGGGAAAACCTCCGACTGCAAAGACGGAAAAATCTTATTCACGTGCAGCCAAGTCTGTTCCCACACGTTGTCCCCACCGAGAGTCCCAGTCGGCACAAGCACGCCTTTCGCCTTCATCACCAAAAGCATATTCTTAAGAAGCTCGGGTACCAGCTCCTGAACCTTCTCCCCCCTCTTCACCTTCAGCTTCATATACTTCTCCATTCGCCCAATCACGTTACGCCACAGCTTGCAAAAGCTCGACACCTGAGTCAACTCCTCCAGTTTATGCAAAAACACCTTCCCGAGCAGTTTCAACGCGAGCACGAGCGTCCCTTCTATATTCCGGTACTCCTTCTGTGTCTGAGGGTTACCCTGCGCAATCTCGGCCAAATCATCGAGCATCGTGAATATGACCATCTCGAAACACTGTGGCCAGAAACCTATTTGCAAACGGATTTCATCAACACCCGTCAAGCACATCTGCAAGGATAGAAGCGCATGGTTCCTAACTTCCTCCCTTTGGTCCAAACAAACCTTCCGTATTCCCTGCACGAGCTTCAGCCACATGTCCCCTATATCCCTGCAGAGCTTCTCGGACTCCGGGCCCGGCATTCCCTCCCGGGCCTCCCGGGCCCACTTGATCAGACACGGAACCGAGCCCGCCATAAGGTCAACCGCGTTGACCGACCGGTCAGCCTGCCCCACACGAGACTCGGCAAACTGCCTCGCAGCATCCACGCAGAGCACGAAATTTGACGGGGACAGGTGGCACCCCTCGGCCATGACGAACGAGAGCGCGTCGAAACCGGGCTCGGACGCGTCCGGGTGGCGGGCCGTGATCGAGAGGAGTGACGCGACTGTACGCCAGCCCAGCGGGCTCCGGATGTGGGCCGCGTTAGCCCTCACGAGCCTGCCGACCTCCTGAGTGATCTGCTCACAGTACTGATCTGCCACGCGGGCCTCGAGCTTGAGAACCAACTGGAGCGAACGAAGAAGCTCGTCTCCCAAATTCTCCTTGTAAGGGAGCAGACGCTGACAGATGCGGAGAAGCCCGAAAACAGCCTTCTCCACGAGAGCAGACGCCACCACTGTGGACTGAACTATGCCTGCAATGTGCTCGTACACGCCCTGCCAAAGGAGCCCGATTCTGTCTCGGTTATTCAGAGTGATGGCAATCAGCAGTTCCAGGCAGAAAACAGCGGTGTCTTCGTCCTCGGGGGAAGCGTTGCCTTTCTGAGGTCGGCCAGCGGCCCATACAAGGGCCCGCGCAAGCTGGAGCAAGGACTCGGCTTGCAGAAACTTGCTCTCGGTGAAAATGCTGTCGATGTGGCATTTCTGGATGGTCTGGAGCGTGCGTTGGTGAGCTGCCAGCTGTTGCTCGGTGGGCTGGGACCTTGGCTCTTCGGTGTCTAGAGAGAGAAGCTGGCTGAATCGGCCCATCAGGCCCGAAGAGCGTCTAGGTGTGCCGATGGACTGGATATGAGCGGAAGACAGGGAGTTGGCTAGAGGCTTTCCGTGTCCAGTAGGATCGGACGACATATCCGAATCATCTGCAGCATCGCTTGCCACGCGGGCGGGTAAAAGCCCGAGCTTGTGCAGCCTCAAGATGCAATCGAGAATATTTCTCCAACCTGTCCGGATAAAATCTCCGTACCTGTTCGCGATGGTGAAAACCGTGACGGTGGCCATTCGGGCTTTTGCATCGTCGCCAAAGGCGAGAACGGGCTCCTCGACTGACGAGGGATTCAAAAGCGTGGTGAACTTACACAGAGACACCACGAGGTCGTCCAGGACATCTTCAAGATGATGACACGCGGAAATTTTTGCCACGGCCAAAAACCCGTCGATGCACGTTTGGTAGACGTCCTCGTACTCGGCATGGTCGAATACGACGGAGATGGCGGCGATTGTGGGCCCTGACATTATTGCAAACATGTCGTGGTCGAGGTGGGCCCGGGAGTCGGAGACGATGTAAGGGGAGGTTTTTCTGGACTTGTGCATTAAATCAATCCATCGGCTAGGAGTCATCTCGGCAAAGCCGGCCCCCTGTTCTGGCGTAGTGCGAATCTCGTTCTTGCAAATCGAGTAATAGAGTTCGGAGAGGAACTCGCGCGGAAGATCGTTGCCTCCATTGATATGCCGGTTGTTGCGGATAAAATCCTCCTCCGTCATCTTCTTCTTGACCTGCACGTTGTGCTGATCCGTGTTGAGCATTATGAGGGAATACGAGAGCAATAGGGCAGCATCCTTGTTGGCCAAGATCTGTGGCGACTGCTCATAGTATCTGCCAGAGAAAGCCTCCAGCACCCTCTGGATCTTTTGAGATTCTCCAGGAAGCCGAAAAGTCTCCAGAAAGAGCCTCAATGCAGTATCGAGGTTCATATCTTGGAAATCGAATGTCCCGGCGAATTCATGGAGGACCTGCACACAGAACTCGTCGTGATTTCCGAGAAAGTCGCCAACGAGATTTTTATCCAGTCCAGCGGTGTAGCGGAAAAAGCAGGCCACACTCTGGGGATCGAGCTTCTCGGGCAAAAGATGTGTTCCCTGCAAAAATTCCAGCCCTTTCTTAGGGTCCCGATTGAAGTGGTCGGCTCCAATCATCAGCCTTCTCTTAATGTACTTTCTTCTGCGGACAAAAGGGACCCAGTGATCAGGATCGACATAATTTTCGCATTTCACCATCCAAAATGGAGTGTACTCGGCGAGATTTACAGGAGCTAGCTCAGAACCAACTGATCCATTGCCTATTCTCTCGGCCATTCCCTGAATCACGGCAATCAGCCCATCCAGGGCAAGAATGTGCATGCTGGACAAAGGGCAGTTCACGGGGAAGGCACTCTTTGACAATAAATTGGCAAGATCTTCAAACACATTACCACACGTTATATCACAATCTAAATTCGCATACATTTCTACCATGAAGGTTTTCTGCCTGCAGAAATCAACCAGAGCCTCCATCGCAACCTCCTGTTGCTGGTACGAAGATCCAAATCGGCTTTGTGCAAGTCTCAAGATCACACAAGAAAAGAAAGCTTCGAGCTGAAGCTTCAGCTCAGTGCGCAAGTGCTGGTATAAGTTGAGAACAATGCTGCAGACCATGGAGAGAATCAAGGGACTCGAAGATAGCCCAAACTGCATAAGATTACGGAAAAGTTCGTCCTGTATCAAGCTCAATAATCTAGGATGATTACTTATAGAACGTCCACCAAACTCAACAGCCGAGTTTATCAGACCTAAGGCAAACAGAGGTACGTCTTCATCAAATGCTATGGAATTCTCCCTGAGTCCCATCCTGTTATGCTCGACAACATTTAGCAATGAACACAGGAAATGAAATATTTCAACCATGCTGGGCACGCCATATGGTTCAGTCATTAAGTGCAAGTCATAGGAAACTCCATCCTTCCCATTATTTGCACTTGCATTCCTTTCATCCATCAATCCACTCATGAGTCCAGATGATGCAAGATTAGAAACTCCGGAAGGGATTTGGCCATCGTACTCGGAAACTCCGACTCCATTTACTGATTTGCCACTGAAATTGTAATCAGCATCAAGTCCCGCAGTCTGTATCGAAGGAACAGAGAGTTTCAAAATTTTGATATGCAAAAAAGAATGCATAAATAACTGAAGTCCTATGCATATTTATAGTGCTAGTCCAGATACACTCACAATCAACCAACAAAGGCTATAACACTTATGCACATAGGTAAACACAGGATAAACAGAGAAAATGTTAGGTACCTACCCTTGGTGTTGGAGATAGGTATTCTGATTTGGAAACAAAAATATCTAAGTATAGGGTCATTACCAAGTTCTCAAAAAAATTCTGATATGCTAATTAGATGAGGAATGAAAATGTAGACATCCCATAAAATCAAAATATAAATAAGAAACAAACGAATATGTTTTCACATACCTCACTATTTATAGCACTGCCTCCTTTAACCAGTGATTGTTCTGTGTTGTCAACATCTGGAAGATGTGAAAATATACATCTAACCAGCTCATTCATTGTATGGCGGGCTATTCTCTGTAAGAGCTCACCTTTCGTTCCAGCTTGATGAACTATCCGGAAACAGGTGTTCACAATAGTGCAAACATGCTGATTACTCAGCATAACCGATGCTTTACTTTTCATGCATGCCAAAAGAACCTGAAGAATCTTGGTTAGTACAATTTCCTCAGATGCAGGGTCAGTCACCTCGAATCTGCAGCTAGTAACAGCATCAACTACCATATGCATGGCATCCTCTACATTGGCAGTATTTACATCCAGCACATCGAGGGTCAAAATCTTGTAAACGGATGACAATGCAACACCGGTAATTGGAGCACCCGTTTCATCTGACCTGATTACCTCGAGAAAGGGCTGGAGGTATAAGGAAGGATTGACCGACTGCCACTCATTTGGCCATGAGAATATCTGCCTTCTCAAAGTTTTAAGAGATTGAATAAGGGTGTGCTCCAATTGGTCATCCCCAGACACATAACGACCTCCCCATCTCACATTCCGCCTCATGACAGCCAGCACTGCTCCTATTTCTGAATTAATCATACATCCCAAAGCAGTCTTATTGGAAGAAGTAGTCTCACATTCTTCTGGTTCCTCTTCAATAGCATTGATGCTAGATTGTAGCCTCAGACGACCCATTTCTATCTCACAATATTCAAATCTTCAACTTCAAACTAGTAAGCAGGACCGGGTTTTAAAAAGGAACCATCCAAAGCAATCACCTCACAGTCTACAAGAGGAAAATTTCAAATATTATGTATTAGGAAAACGTGGAGATTCTTCCGTCGATAAATGATATCCGTGAACAGAACAGGAAGGGAGATTTCACTTTCCATATATGGTACAATGGGGATTTTTGAAACGGCATAAAGTATTTATTAATAAAATATGGTACACCATTGAAGACTAGAAATAACTGTTTTACTGGTTGCTGAATCAATGTGCCATACTGTTCTCTATCATGCTGAAACTAATTTCTAAACATACTTGGCCCCTATGCTTTCATCAAGATGCTACGAGGTACATGCCCACACCCCATAGCAAGACGAAAAAATAACTCAGAACACACAGACTCTCTGAATAAAAGTTAAATCTATATCGACCCATATATAGCAAGATGCGAACTAGTCCATGTAGGTAATCAGAAGCTTGATCAAGAGTAACTTACAGGGCATCTGTTGACACATAGTGATCTACCGAGTGACTCCAATTTCAAAACGTAAATAGGAAATATATTAATATCTAAAGGGGCAACAAAAAAATTCTTCACAGTTCACACACAAGTGTACAACCTGAAATTTGGTGTTTAACCCGCAGTACACTACCTCAAAACTATCACATTTCGAATCAGTACTCCTACATCTACTAACTATTTTTTGCCCATCACAAAATCACTCACATTCAACCTCCCGATTGCTAACCGTAACGTAAAATCTAAAGCAACAAACTCAATGCGTTGAGCAAATATCAGCTAATGGTTGAACACCTCAATTCTGCAATATAAACAGAATATTTCACAAATGCGATTCCAAATCACAACTCCTTACTGAACAGGTCAGCAACGACCAAATCAGATGGATAACAAACAACACATAAACTCACCGCCGGCAACGAGGAAATACGGGTCCAGCTTAGATCTGTGGGTTTGGTGTAAAAAGTACCGACCCCCAGCGTTGATGCTTGAGCAAATGAGCCGCCGGCGGGTTGCAGTTGACTGTTGGCAGTGAGAAATGTCAAAGAAAAATTGAGAAAAATAGTAAAAGTAGAGCGAGAATATATATTAACAAATTGAATNAATTTCATATTTAAAAAAAAAAAAAAAAAAAAAAAAAAAAAAAGACCGGCGTTTACGCTACGTCGTCGTATCATATCTCCTGGAAATTGAAGTCTTCACATTGTATCTTTTTCTCTATTACCAGTGCATAGACTATGCGATCTATAAAAGGGGACAATTTTAATGCTATTTACTCAATTTTATTATTATTTTCGTGAACAAAAATAATTAAATAAAAAAAATTATTATATATTACTAAAAATTTTCTTATAAACAACATTTTTTACCTTGTAGGCACACCAACTTTCCTGCAAATTAATATTTTCATCTGGAGTACCTTCTCTCCTACATTAGCTCTAGTCAATACCTTACATTATAGGGGCAAATTCTATTGTAAGGCTTGACTTTTTGTTATTGTGTCACAATAAGGCTTGAATTTTTAACTTTTTTATTTGAGGATTTCAATATTAAGTTATTCTCAATATAATGCATACTTTTACATTCTATTTTTCAATTTAAGACTCCATATCACTATGTATTTTGATATAATTATGTAAACCATAATACTTTTTTTTTAAAAAAAAATTACTTTTTAAGTACTTATAAAAATATTAACATATTTAGCAAAATAATCTAATAAGATAATTATTTCAGAATTTACAATTATGCAAAAGATTAAGGAAATTTATTATAAAAGTTAAAAAATAAATTTTAACTTAATTTTAATTTAAATATGTGATACCACTAAAATATACACTATTTAGAAAACTAACATTATTTTTTAAATAAACTTATAGGAAATATTATTTGTGAATAAAATTTATATTTTTTAAAAAGTTAAGAAATATATAAAAATTAATACGTATAATAAAAGTATTAAATATATTTGTAACACTAGCTTCGTAAGAAAAATATTTCAAATAAGCTAGATTTATTTAAAATTAATTTAGCTTAAATGAATTAATTTTCTTATTAAAGTAATTTTATTAAAAATATTTATAATTTTTTAAAATATAAATTTCATAATAATAGTATTTTGGTTTACATATTTTGTAAAAATACAAAGTGATTGGAGTCTTGAATTGAAAAGTAAAATGTAAAAGTAGGCCTTTTATTAAGAATAACTTAAGATTAAAATCCTCAAAATGTTGAAAATTCAGGCCTTATTGTGACACAATAATAAAAAGTTAAGCCATATAATGAAATTTCTCCTACATTCCAGCACATGAGTTGAGAGCTTTGTGGGAACCAATCTCGTACCATTGCATAACCCCATAGAATGGTCAATGTTCCGCAACAACATGACTGGGACTCATATCTTAAGATTCAACTCATGGTTCGACACTCCAAAGCATATGATAGTATTCAAAAACTCGGGGTGTGGAGATTGGACAAAAAACATTATTGGAACCAGATTTGCACGTACTATCAGAGCTCAAGTATGTTTGACCATCAGTCACGTTCAAATAAGTCATGTACTCATTGATAGACTCAACCGCCTCCAACGTTGGGGCTCGTATAGCCCTATCCTTCAAATAACTGGGATCATCGTTTGCATCTTTAAAGATTGAATATGTGTTCTCAACAATTACAACAATTATTAGTGGGCTCCAACAATATATCATCAAGTATGTTTATCAGGGCATATCTATCATTGGATCTCCCAATGGTTCCATTTCCGATGCTTGCTATCTAATTAGAAAAAGCAGTTAGGTATCGCGTTAATCCAAATCACCAATGCTCTCAAGGCGCATATTTTTTGTAAGCCTCAACACAGTATAGTCAACCCATATGTCGGAAGGAATAATTGCAGCATTCACAATATCCTGTTGACTCCCTTTGGAATAACCAGGAGGGTCTATAGAAAGTCTTCATCGTGAAATAGAATTTCCAATTAAATCTTTTATTGAACCTCAAATTTGTGTTCAATTATTTGATCGCAACTTCATGGGTAGCTTATTAATTCTATTGACATTCTCGATCAAACTGAATTCGCACTTCATGTGGAATTGAAGTAAATCGGTATAAATCATGTATTTGTGTAACAAAAAATTAAATTAAAAGTAGGATGAGTAGACAACATCGATGTACACTGAATTTATAAGGGAAAAGGAACAAAGTATATTTCAGATTAAGCTCATATATATTTTATATGAAAATAATTTAACAAAGACAATAAATTGTCTATGATTCATGTCAATTTTTAAACGTGTGCAAATAACGCTTATTCTATTTGTAATGACAAAGGCTTACTCTATGTATTTTACACGTTTTTTTTTTTTTATTAATCT